GAGAACGGGATCCTGTAATGCTGCACACACACTAGGTACAAAAGCAGTGGAGTAGAGACCATGAGAACAGAACACATTTTAAACTGCTACCTAGTCTCAGACTAGGGTGCTCTGGTGGCCTGGTAGTAAGGAGCTATGCTGCAATTCCAAAGGCATGCAGTTCAAATCCACCAGATGCTCCACGGGAGAAGGATGAGCAGTCTCTTCCCATGTAGTTGACTGTCTCTGAAAACCTACCGGAGGGCTCGCTATGAATGAGCTCGCTGTGACTTGAAAGCAAACAGCAACAAGAAGTCTCAGACCAGGCCTGTAGCATACGCCTTAGACCAACTTAGAGCACCGCAGGCTTTGGAAATGGAACTGACATTACAATTACCAGCCACAGAAGGCAAGACTGAACTTGCACCCTGAACCTAACCAAAGTGAATACTTGTCTTAACAAAACTGCTCCTGTTTACAACAAAAAATTCTCCAGATGTAGCCAGGAGATCAGGAAATGCACTGGGAAAGTCTGCAGTCAGGGACCTCTCCAAATTTCTGAGGAGCAATGATGTCAGTTTGAGGACTAAGGTGCACTTGATTCAGGCAATGGTCTTTTCCTTGACTTGCTATGCATCTGAAAGCTGGACAATGAATAATGATGACAGAAAAAGAACTGATGCCTTTGAGTGATGATGCTGGAGTACTGAGTATCCCGTGGACTGCAAAAAGAACAGATACATACTGAAGAGAGTGCATCGAGAATGCTCCTTGGAGGCAGAGAGATGACAAAGCTTCATTTCACATACTTTGAGCATGTTGTCAGAAGAAGCTATTCTTTGGAGAGGGATATCATGCTTGGAAAGGCGGAGGAGGGTCTGGGAAAGAAAGGAAGACCCTTGACCAGATGGATTGACACAGTGACTGCAGTAATAGGCTTGAGTGTGCCAGAGATTGTGAGGACGGCAATGGATAGGACAGGATTCAGATCTACTGTTCATAGAGTTGTGATGAGTCACATCTGACTCAGTGGCACCTAACAACAATGGAGTGTACACACTAATACATTCACAGTAGCTAGTTTATACGTCAAAAATTACTTGACAAAAGGACAGGTGAACCAGAAAAGTAGGATTCATTCTCAAGGAAAAAGACAATTAATGAATACATCGTAGGACTTGGTGACTACTTTAAAGCAGCTACTGGAACTATCTGATGCATACATAAAATGGAGAGGAAACGGTAATGTTTTCAGCAGAGAATAAAAAAAAAAGGATTAAAAAATATAACTGAATGGTGAATTTTAGAACTAGGAGGAAAAACCCAACAAAATTATAAAATAAAAAATGGCACTGAATGGACGCTGTAGCAGAATGGAGATGACACAGGAAAAAGGTAGTCAACCTAAAATTAGATCAACGGAAATCTATCCAATCTGAAGAAAATCAAATTTGGGCAAGAAAATGGGCAGAGTCTAAATGACCCATGTGACAGTATCAGGAGGTTAAATATTTGTGTCACTGGAGACTCAGAGGATAAAGAGATCAGGACTAAAAAAAATAAAAAATGGCTAAAATTACTGCAAATCTGGTGGAAAACATAAATTTACAGATTTCCAAAACTGAATTCTCCCCAAAGTGATGTCTTTCCTAAAAACTTTGTCTTAGCCATTCAAGCATCTCACAAATGTGCTAATCTCAGTTATTAGTCCATTTCTGCTTTCACTGAACAACTTCATTTAATTAAAGACATTATAGAGTCCAAGAAGCAACATTATTTTATGTAATATTTTAAAAACACTGCCAATTAATTTTAAGATGCCAGTGATGAAAAGATCCCAGTATCACAGATGTGAAACTGCAAGAAAGAGGAAAAAAAAACAAACCCAAACCAAACAACCCCTCAGCATCTTAGAATGAATAAAGTGCATATGGTGTTAAGTACATGCTAAGTACCAGGCACGGTGCTAAGACACTGTGGCAAATGGAACAGACACAGTCACCCAGTCCTATTACCCTGCGTACATCACACCTCCTGTAACATTACTCATTTCTCATCTTGGTCTCAGAATAGACAAAAAAAGTGTTCAGAAAAACTCACTCATCCATATTGATAAAACTGTTGCACAAAGCCCCTACCCGCATTGTGTGTTCCCTCACTGTGCAGTCCCTCCCTCCCAGGAAGGAAATGCACAATCTAACTATGTCAGGTTAGCGCCTGTCTGCTCATTCTCTGACTTTTTTTTTTTCATTCTCTGACTCTTCAGCACATAGTGTCCCCTTTGGTTCCCTCCCCCTCTTAGAAGAGGAAGTTTTCTTTTCCTAAAAAAAAGGGGGGGGCACGGAACTACACACCAAAAATACTTCATAGAATTCTACCCATGATGTTTTGCAAACTATTCAAGTTGATTTTCTTACTTTAATGAAAAATTATTTTTATTTCAATCTGGGACAGTTTTACATCTCTCTAGAGTTCATCAAGTTATTTAAATAAGTACTAAGAGAATGCAGTGGGAATTAAGTTTTTTTAAAATAAAAAAAATAAGAGATTCTGGTGCTCTTTTTCTTTTTTAAAATTGCATCAGCTATTACGGGGCAGCCAAGGGCAGAGTTCTTTTCATTATATTCAGCCTCCTATCCCATTTTTAAAATAAAACATAAGCTATACATTTACTCACAGCTATGAAGCCTTTGGGGAAAGGCTGGGGTGGGGAAAACTCTCCTCCAGGACATTAAATGCCTTGAGTTCTCATTCTTTCCTTTTTCCAGATGTACAGTTTTTATTTAAAAAGAAAACCAAAAAACAGATTACCATCTGTGTTCCCAATGCACGTCCCAAATACTGCTTTTCTAGGTTCATCATGGATGACCTTCTAGCTAAGACTGGCCGGCCCAGATGCACCAGCAGTGTTCAGATAGCTGGACACACCTCAGGACAGGGCCTGAATAAGCCACTCTGGACAGCCTACTACTCTCCCAACTCCACAGCACCAAGTCTGTTTTTTCCATAGAGGCAGAGATTTTGGGGAAAACCCTAATGTTGATTTATTAATCAAGTGAGCTTTGCATGGCCATAATTCAACTTCAAAATTACTACAGAGTAGGAGATCAAAATCTCAGAGATGAATCTAGTCTACACGGCTAACCGCCTATGCAACCCATAGTCGTATCCACCCTGATGGGAGGTAGAGGGTGGGGGACAAAGAATCAAATTCTTAAAAGGTTCAGACTTACTGGACCAGCTGTGACCAGAAGATGTTCTCAAGACTGTCATCCCAAAGGCACTCTTTAACTCTTGGCCAAATATATCCCAAGATCACCTTTTGGAGAAATATCAGGATGATACACAATATAGAGGCTGGTACCTGTATGCACTCTGCTGTACTGAGGGGGACAACAGGCTACTTGAGGACCACAACAACGAAAAAGAGGGAGCCAGAGATACGACATACTAAGCAGCCCTGCCCCAGAGAAGGCTGACGGCCGCCTTACCGAGGCTGCCCTGTCTCCTAACTGATGACACAGCATATACTGACCTGGCCGTCATGCTCCATCGGGAAACCATTCTTCTAGAGCTATCTAGGCTAGCTGATGGAGAAGGCAGAGGCCTCAGATGAGCACTGCCTGGGTTTCCTGTAACCCTAGATGTGCTCAATTCTAAATGCTCATGGTGCAAACAAGCTCGGACCAGAAACCCCGGTCCCAACCCTTTCCACTGAGGCACTCCAAGGAGCCCTCTGCAATGGGGCTTCTAGACAGAGTGGTCACTAGGTCCCAGAGGGAAAGCCTATCGGAGATACTCGGAGCCTGTCACAGCACAGTCTAGGACACTTACACACAGCATTTCACTCTTAAATGGGTTCTTTCACTTGCTCTCCCCCGTGTGGAGGTCACTTCTCAAGCCTCACTGTTTTGAAGGAGAAGCACCAGGGTTCCATTCTCAAACATCAAGACAGCTGCCATCTTATGAGGCCTTGAGAGGGGGAAAAATGATAGGGCATTTTTGTAAGGTGCACTTTTTGTTTTAGGAGTTGGTGGGGTTGGGGGTCGAGCAGCTAGAGAGGTAGAAAGGTCGGGAGCTGAAAATATTATTTGACAAAATAATTATTTTTGCAAGCTGCTGCACTGGCGGGACAGAGGTCTGGGATTTGGCACGGTGGAGGACCCGCCTCACAATCTGATACCCACCAACGAGCAGACCACCACCTGCAGCCTGGGGCCGGGAACAGGGGAGGGGACCAGTGGAGCCTGGCCTCCAGCCACACTACCTCTCTTTGGGGCACTGGATCAGACACGGCAGATAACCAGCCAAAAAAAAAGGGGGGGGGCGGTAAGGAAAAGGAAAGAAAGGACAAGGGAAGGGGGGAGGATGCAGGGAGGGGGCCAAAACCTAAAATCTGGACCCAGAGGGTCTTTTTGAAACACTTTAATCCTTTCGTGCTGATGGTTCCTGGAGCGCTGTGGCTGGCACTGGACGCTGGACCGGGAAAAGCCGACTCCCTGAGCCAATGCACTAAAGAGAAGGCTGCTAATCAGCTAAATAGAAACTGGAAGCCGTTCGCATCGAGCCACTTCCCCCCGCACCAGAGGGACACCGCAGTGTTCTGAAATACACTCTTGACATCACTTGGCAGGCAATCCTATTTTGTTGAACATGATTCATCCCTTAGGTTATTGTTTTTAATATTAGAAAGTGAGCTTTTAAATGCCAAACAAATTTTGCAGCAGGGGGACAAAAAATATTCCAAGTGGTCTCACTGGACCTTCTACCAACTGCGTCCACCAAATGGCTTAAAAGAAAGCCTTCCCATGGTGCCTGAGAAACGAAGCAGAGACGACGCTACATCCAACTATTACCTAATACAAGACTTTGTTCTCTGAGTTCACAAAGACAGCACTGAGGGACCAGAGGCTGGCCTCAAGGTGGGCAGAGCGGTGGGGTGCGCACAAAGGAACGTGAGCAGGAGAGAGGCTGCACGTGCGCCTAGGCTACCACGAAAGCTGATGCCCACTCAAACTTACCTCCTGTCCATGTTGCCGCTGACCATGAGGTTGGGAGGACTGTCTCGGAGGTTGACGCACGTGAAGTCGCCCAGCGCATTACCCAGCTTCGAGATGCAGCGCTCTGCTTCCAGGTTGCACACCAGGATCTGGTGGGGGGAGAGCAATGGAGGGGCACAGTTACACACCCCAGCTGCAGCCCACACGATCATTTCTGCAGAGGTGGGACGGGAGCCCCATCACTCAGCTCCTGCTGACAAAAATGTTCTGCTGCTCAATGTCCAAGCTCGTGGGGACACAGAGACATGGCCACACCATATGGTCAAAGGAAAATGCAACCCAAGCACTCCTGGGGCAGAAGAACAAACTCACTCATATGAGACAAGAGAGAAGAAGGCAAAGCGGAGAAACGGGGTCTCCTGGCAGACCTTTGGAGTGCTCACGTAGTAAGAGAGATCTAGAACATAGCTAAGGGGCACTGCCTCCTTCTGGTTTAGAATTCATGGGAAAGCTAACCAGAGAGCATGGAGCTGAGCCACCCTGGGTTCTTTCTTTCTCTCTCTTTACATTTAGCCCATAAAAAGTAAAATAGAAACACTAAAATATTTTTTTAAAAAACAGTATAAGCATCTAGGAAGAAGCAGCAAGCATGGTTAACCATCTAGGGACTACTTTAGACTAAACTACAAAGCAAAACACAAATTCTAGCATAGCTGCACTCCACATGCTGATTTTAGACAGTTCTGGGCCAGAGGAAGGAGGGCAAATAAGAGACTTTTTTTCTTGAGACAGAGGATCATCCTCGTTTAACACTTCTGTGCTACCAGCTTCCAGCAAACTTTTCAAACATATGCACACCCTGAATATAAGGAGATATTTGTTTTGTGGCTGGTACAGGGTTTTTAAAAATCTAATTCAATTCAATTAACATTAAATACCTGCTAAGGTAAGTAACTGTTTAGGTGCTGAGGACATGGTCCCGGCCTAAAAAAAATCAGTTCCCAAAGCTTCCTGATTAATACACACAAACACAATTAATACACATGCACACATGCACAGAGGCAGACAGACATGGTCTGAGCATACATTGGACTCCACTGATTGTGTGGTTAACATTTTTAATCAGTGAACTCAAAAGTCTTAATATTTTACAGAGAAACTGCTTCCTCTTAACAAACACACATACAAATGTTGTATCTTCTGACCTATAAATTTATAATTTATCTGTGTACAGTTTGATTTTGTTTTTTTTTTGTGGGGAGTTTTAAATGGTCTCTACCTTGAAAACCATCTGATTGTAAACACATACTTCCAAAAACAGAATCTCTGGATATTGCCAGTAATGCAAACATCGCTATAGGATTAGTTAACACTTTTCACAGGATGACAACTTCTAAAAGGAAAAAGGAACATTTCAAAATGTAAAATGCCTTAATTTATACAGATGAAAGGGGACAAGCTAAAATGCAAATGAAAGTAAATTTCTGTCCAAGATGACTCCAACAATTCTACAACATCCAAAACAGGATTATTATTCCAAATGAGAACATAAAGTTTGCATCTACAGTTAATTTTAAAAAATGTAGTGTTCCCTTTCTCTGTTCACACAACAGCCTTCTGGTCTTGGCATAGGTTTCACATGAGCACAATTAGGTGCTCTGGGATTCCTATTCTTCTCAATGTTAACCATAACTTGTTATGATCCACATGGTCAAATGCCTTTGCATAGTCAATAAAGCATGAATAGACATTCTTCTGGTATTCTTTTTTTTTTTTCTCTTTCTTTCTTCTGGTATTCTTTACTTTCAGCCAGCATCTATCTGACATCAGCAATGATATTCCTGGTGCCATGGCCTCTTCTAAATCCTGCTTGAATTTCTGGTAATTAGTTTTCTGTCCATGTACTGTTTTAGCATTTATTTTTTTATTTTTTATTATTTTTGTGTGAGTGTACCGTAAAATCAGATCTGACTGGTACAGGAGGAGATTGTCCCTCCTTCCCCGGCAGAGCATCTGGTGGATTCGAACAGTGCGCCTCTGGGATTGTAGTTGCAGCTCCTTGCCACTAGGCCAACAGAGCTCCCCTGTTCTAGCATTTTTGAATGATCTTCAGCAGTACTTTGCTGACATGTGATATTAAAGATAGTGTTCGATAGTGTCCAACGCGAATGGCAACAAATAAGGACTTCTCCCAAACCTTTGGCCAGACAGTTATCCTCCATATTTCCTGGCACAGACTGGTGAAGACTGCAACTGTTAATATAAACAAGTCAACTGGTATCCCATTGATTCCTGGGGCTTTATTTTTTGCCAATGCCATCAATGCAGCTTCCACATCCTCCTTCATTACCAGTGGCTCCTGCTCATATGGAACTTCTTGAACTTTTTCAGTGTTAGTCAGTTCTTTTTGGTACAGTAACTGTGTATTCCCTCCATCTTCTCTGATGCTTTCTGGGTCATTCAATAGATTGCCTATAGCATCTTTCAATATTGCTACCCGAAATCTAAATTTGTTTTTCAGTTCCCTCAGCTTGAGAAATGCAAAGTGAGTTCTTCCCTTATTCTCCAACTCCAGCTCTCTGAACATTCACTATAATATTTTGTTTTGTCTTCCTGAACTGCCCTTTGACATCTTCTAGTCAGCTCTTTTACTTTGGTACGGAGAGGGGAACACTACATTAGAAAGGGAGTGCAGTAGGGTTGTATTCTCTCTCCATACCTATTCAAACGGTATGCTGAGCAAATTATCAGAGAGACTGGATTCAATGAGGAGGAATGTGGCATCAGGATTGGAGAAAGAGTCATCAACAACCTGTGTTATCAGATGACAAAACCTTGCCTGCCGTAATTAGGGAGAACTTGAAGCACTTTTTGCAGAGGATCAAAGAATAACAGCCTTTAATATGGACTGGATCACAATGTCAAGAAGACAAAGATTATTACTATTGGACTGATAGGCAATGATGGATAGAGAAAAGATTGAAACTATCAACAACTTCATCTTATTTGGATCCACAGTTAACACCCTTGGTACCAGCAGCCAGGAAATCAGGAGACATACCACGCTGGCAAAGTCTGCAGTTAGATAGAGACTTCTCCAAATTACTGAGGAGTAATGATGTCAGTTTGCAGAGTAAGGTGTGTCTGATGCAGGCCATGGTCCTTCCGATCACTTGCTATCCATCTGAGAGCTATACCAGGAATAAAGATGACAGAAGAATTGATGCTTTCGAATTGTGGTGTTAGAGAAGAGCGCTGAACATCCCATGGGCTGTCAAAAGAACAAATAAATATATCTTGGAAAGGGTGCAGCTGGAGTGTGCTTTTAGAGCCAATGATAATGAGGCTTCACTTCACCTACTTCAGCCATGTTGCAAGGAGGGACTATTCCTTGGAAGCAGAGGGTCGATGAAGAAGAGGAAGACCCTCGACTAGGTGGATTGACACATCGAATGCTGCAAAATGGACTCGAGTGTGTCAGAATTGTGATGATGGCACAGGGTTCAGCTCTGTTGTTCACAGGGTCACTATGGGTCGTACGTGACTGTGGCACCTACCAACAACAACCTACAGTTAACAGCCTAACTGCCATAAAGCCAACTGCTGGAGGGAGAAGAAGCATTAAATAGCCACCTTTCGGTTTCCCATAAGCATACATTCTGTACTGCCATCTAAAAGTAGAGCTCTTAATAGAATTCTTGGGCTCCATATTTGCTTCTTTCCACAAGATTTCAGCATCTGTAGCAAGAAAGGATGCCTATTTAACCCGTCAAACGATCACGGTAAATATAAGAATTTAAATGGGGTCATGTTTTCCAGCAGCTCTCTTCGGACAAGTAGACGGCTCATTTCTGAGTGATATAGTGAGATCCAATCTCCTGCCAAAAAACCTTTCTCTACAGATTCATCACAGAGACATCTGAGTTAGTAGCCACAAGTCAAGTCTTCTCTACAATGTTTAATAATTCAATGAATCAAAACTATCGAAAGAGTACCTTTATCATGATGTTTAGTTAAAGACCACAGAGAGTAGAAAATACATTACCCATCTCCAAGGCGGTTCTTTCCATGTTACAAGTCCCTTAACGACCTTTACCATCCCTTCCTCCCTCCCGCACTCTCTCTCTTTTAATAAGGTTGAGCAAATGGGACTTCATTTTATCTGATTGCCACAGACTAGTGAGATTAATTATTCATGCTCACACTCTCCCTCTTGTTAAGACCATGCATTAGACTAATTTTTCTCTTTATTGCTCTAGTTGGGTGAGTCTCAACCCATGGCCACTTGATTCCACTTTCAGAGGTGTATGGATATGCTGGAAAGAAGGAAAAAACTACCCGTGGCTAAAATCCTGGAGAAAGTGTTCTGCACTAATGCGACCGCCAAATCAATAAATAGATGTTGTTGGGATTTTTTTTAAAGTACTAAGTGTATATTACAAAAGAGGTTAAATAGTGATTACAGAGCAGATTTTACAGGGGGGCAGATTTCTCTTTAGAACGATCTGAAATGCCTACCCTGTTAAGATCAGCACATGTGTCACGAAGACAGAAAGTGTTGTGTGTAGAGTCACAGTGAGGTGGCTTTCCAGCTCTCTGGTTCAAGGTAGATCAAGTGTTTCTTTGTAGGAGCAAGCACTGGCCTCTGAAAACTGCAGAAGAAAACTTGGGTTTCTTAACTAGCTCTTTTCTTAGTAATCTTAAATATATTTTCAAAAATCCTGGTCCCAGAATTTTCACTCCAATTTCTCTGGAATCTCTCTTCAATGTCTAAAAAATGGGTTTCTCGATCTCAAACATGATACACTCTTGGACCACATTCCCATATAACAGAATTCTAGAGTAAAGACACTGGTACCCTGCTGTATAGCCACTTCTCAGTGGTCATAACTTGAGCAGTTTGCTGCATATACATTTAGAACATTCCTTTGTGTGTGAACAAAACTGTTCTGTTCCCTGGATGGGAATAATGTGAAACTTGCCTTTCCCACTGAGTTCTAGGTCTTGAGAGCTATTCTCACAACAGTACTGATAGACAGATCTTGTTCACTTTGATGGCCACATACATCTTCTCCTTGGAAGAGGAGCTAGTTCTTTCTTTTTCTTTTTTTTTTTTATTAACATATGAGAAATAATGTTGTAGTCCATT